CTGCTCAGGTAATGTCGTCGGCATGACCGAGAGCCATTGAAAAACTACAGAAAAGTAAAACTACTTCACTTTAGCATTACTGGCCACGAGTACTAAGGAGAGATCACACATCAGCTGCTCAAAAAATGTGTCAGTGAGACGAACGGAGCGCGAGCGCAATCTTGTGACAGTCACTGCAGGCTGTAAAATGCGTGAAAGAGAGATGCGAGGGCACGAACACGGTTTAGTTTGTGCTTGTAGTAATTTAATGTGTATATATTTTGAAAGCATTGAATCGCTATAGAAATCGCGATTTATTCGATTCTTAGCGTTTTAAATCGATTACTTAAATTGATTACTTAAATCGATTTAAATCGATTACTGATTCACGATTCAAAAATCCATGTTTCAAGATCGATGCATTGCATCGTCAGGGCTTGTAATCGATGCATCGAGAAAACGAGTGAATCGTTACACCCCTACATTACACGTTTCGTCGTAGTAAGAATTGGCTTATAAAAGAGCGAGACTACGCGATCTCTTCATATCTTTTAACATCACGGAAACACAAAAATATCATACAACACGCCAAAATTAAACCTAAAATTCATTATAGTAACACAGCTTTTGACATTAAGTGTTTTATGGATTAAACGAGAAGAAAGACCACGTTCTCTTCACGTAAACAGCTCATTTCCCTCAGACATATTCATACAACGCTTATTCTATGTTTTTATATATGTTGTACGTTTGTGTATAAATACATGTTTTAAATAGTACGTTTACACCTTTTTTAATATACAAGTATTGATAAATTCAGTCTAAGTACAAATTCAGTTCCACTTAGGCTACCTGACGTGTGAACTTGACATACATTTAACATAGCCGAAATAAAAAATTTTCTTTGGACACACGACTTATAAAACACTTCTAAATATCCACTCAAAAACATCGGATATGCTGTATGTTTTTGTCGATAAATGAATCTTGACAAGATGGCGCTGTTTCTCCCACGAAGTCACTCAGGCCCAAATGGCACCCTAAACCCTCACGGTCTTCCTCTGAGTCCGCACTTTCGTGACATAATGCCGCTTTGACTGTTGGGTAGAAGTCTGCTGCGGAGCTCGCCCCAGTGCGGGCTCGGCAGAAGTGCGCATTGAGAACGCATAGCGGCCGCAAAGGGGGCGCTCGCGAGCACCCTTCTGAACGCTAAAATGACGAATGGGACACCCTATGGTCTCGTGGACTTAACGGACACGCGCACGCGGCGGCCGTTGTAAGTCTGCAAGACTGAAAGTGCGCATGAAGTGTTCCATTTAGGACAGGGCCTCACCCAGTCAACAATTTGATCTCACAATGATGTCACCATGAGCTCACACGATTCTCATGGTGTGGTCACAATGTGTGTGTCACAGTGAGCTAAAAGTGTAACCACACAGCGCACTCACTGTGTGCTCATACTATGCTCCCAATGTGAGGTCACTGCACACTCACTGTGCGCTCATACTGTGGTCACAACGTGAGGTCACTGCACACTCACTGTGCGCTCATACTATGGAACTCACAATGATTTCACCTATTACTCACACCGTGAGGATCACAGTATGAGGATCGGGTGATGTCACTGTGATCATCGCATGATCTCACGTGTTGACTGGGCAGGTTCGTGTACGTGCGGAATGATCTCAGTGTTGGCTGGATTAGTTTTTATTAGTTTAGTCAACATTAGCATAGCTAATTGTTGACTGGATTTGAAAATAACCGTTCATTCAATGTTTTTCAAATATATTTGTGTAGACTTAATATAATATGTCCTCTCAACTAAGCCCAAGCAATAAAATTAGCTCAACTTAAATATTTTTGCCCTTCCAACATTTTGTTAATTGGATTTTTTACAGTGTGGTTGTGCAGCATGTTGTTTGATTTGCTAAAAGGAACCGGTTCTTTAGAGTCATTTTTTTTGTATTAAAACTACATTGACTGCACTGTCTGTTTTGCACTGTAAGTTAAACAGTGCTGTTGCAGCTCTGATGAATAAGTTGTTGAGGAATATATGATGATGTGTGTAGTTTTTAGCAATATGTTGGCAAGCAAAGGTTGTGCATTGGCATTTGTTATTCTCTTAGGATCTTTACTGAAACCATGCAGTTGTTTATAGACTCCTGTGAATCTGTAAAACCTGAGCTAAGAGTCTAATAGATCACCCTGCGGTCATGATGCTTTTAAGGGCCTAAGTTTATGAAGTGCTTTTGTTTTAAGACCTCAGGTGCTGCTATTTGACTATCCTGGTGGCCCTGTTTGTGAAAATGAAATGTGTAAAGCAGCGCTGAAAGGGGGAGAAAGATCCCACTGTAGAGAGATAACATAAACATCAGACAGCAAGATAAGGACCGCTAGCGCAATGCAGAAAGTCTATTTTGGGGGCTGGGAGAAGGACTAGTGTGAGCAGCCCCAGTAGGACCCTCATTCAGGAGTCATAACATCTCCCTCTCTCACTCTTCAGTGATCACGCCCAATGCAAATACCAGCATGCATTTCATTTAGCTCTCGCTGTCAGTAAGTGCACCGAATTAACGAGTGAATGAAGTGGAAATGGTGGAGATTGATAATGGTCACAGATCATGTGTAAAAAAGGAAAGAAGCTATTGCATAATGCACTATAACCAGGTTGCAGTTCAGTGGTGCATCTATAAATTTATGCTCTGTGGATTTTTAACACTAAAAGCTTTTATCCTAACGGATGTTATGCAATGAAGAGTATAAAATGTGACTTGTGGCATACCTGCTGTAAATGCATTTGAAGGGAAGAACAGGGAGTTGATTTTAAGCAGTTTTATAAATCAGCATTTGACAGATATTATGGCAGACGGCAGCTGAAGCAGTGGTGGGTTGTGATCTGATAATGGGTGTAGGTCTTTAATGATAGGTTCGTGAACTGCTGGAGAAAAAAAAAACTATGAAACTAACAATATTATCATGCATAATTAGGAGAAAACAATAAATAAGCTAATAAAAATGTAAATATTTGTGCCTACCAACTTGTGTTTTGTGATGAATTATGCAAAGAGCAAAAGCATCCATAAACACATCATTGATATACAGTATTTATGCAATACGCTGTGCATTTAGTATATTCAGGAGCATTAAGTTTGTTTCACATGTTAGGCTGTTAAATCACACTTTGGCTATTGTTTATGCATTTGCAAAGTTGTCAGATTTCCAATTCTGATGTTTATTGTTGCTGTTCAGAAGTTGCTTATTATTGGGTCTATGCCGTTCATGGTAATGTTTTTAAGGATTTTTGTTTGCTTTTGTACATTGAACAATAGCCACTTGATGTTCAATGTTAAATCAGTTGAGAACCACTGTGTTAAAACAAGTGTGTTGGTTTTTGGTGCTTAAATTCTACAATGCCTTTATGCAAATGAGGCAATGAGCAAATGAGCTATTTTGTGACTCACAAAGAGTTACATAGCTGAATATAATTGAAACTTTCTTTCACAAAGAAAGAAACTCTTCTATTCTGTATGCTAATCTACTCCCAGGAGACTTTTTAAAATGCCTGTTTTCTGTCAGTTTTAGCTGATGTTGACAGATTGCTTTTTTCAATCACGTGATATCGAACTGAATGCATAAGAACTATTGATATGGAACACCTAAAAATGTTTTTTGATGACAAATCGATACTTTAATATTCAGGATAGATTAAGTTGATCAAAATTGACTAAAGACTTTTACAAAAAATTCTTTCTCAAATAGATGCTGTTTATTGATCTTTCTATTCATCAATAAAAATGTATCATTTTCCACACAAATATTAAGCAGCACAACCGTTTTTAATATTGATAATAATAAGAAATATTACTTGAGCACCAAATCAGCATATTAGAATGATTTCTGAATGATCATTTAATACTGAAGACTAGAGTAATGATGCTGAAAATTCAGCTTTGCCATCACAGGAGTAAATGACATTTTAAAATATATTAAAATAGAAAAGTTATTTTAAATTGCAGTTATATTTCACAATATTACTGTTTTTAGGGCATCTTTCATTTAATAATGCAACCTGGGTGTGCATATGAGACTTCCTTCAAAAACATTTCTAAAAATCTTATAGACTCCAAAATGTCCAGAATCATTTGTTGGCAGATGCCAGTTTTTGTGATATTTTCAGGGCTTAAAGTTCTCCGGCACCGTGCCGGATCTCCGGCGTGCGGCGTTTGGCTGCAGGAAAAAAAACAGTCGTCCTAAATTTAAAAACACTTGTTGACATCAGTTCGAGTTCATGAGTTCACTTACCAATGTATGAGAGGAACACAGCTTTCACTCTCAACCAAACTAACATTACTAGCCAATCAGACGTTTTTGCTCTTATAAACATGAGACGCGCATTAGTATCCAAATGCAGAGTCGCAGCTGATGAATGGAAAAGAAGCCTGGGTCTCGAGCGCGACACATTGAAAAAGCTGTGAGGTGCAGTGGTCAAAGATTTTCATCTAGCGTCATATTTACATAGAAAAGCTATTAAAAAAGCAGCGGAGTTATTTGTTATATATCAACATATATAACACATCGCAATTTCAAAATAAAAGTTTCTGACTTTGCATGTGGCCAAATTTAAATGGATTTAAACGTTGTTGAATCACATGAAACATCACCAGGCCGTTGGCTCTGCAGGTATTTGTTATAATATAGGCATATTAAGTTGTGTATTTAACAGTGTTGTTCAATAAAACCATGTACTTGGTTTTGATACTTTATTTGAGGCCAATTATTATTTGTCTCGTTCTAGTGAACCAAGTATCTGCATTTTGTCTCTCCTTGTGAGCTAAGTTTATTGTCATACCCCTAGTGTCTATAAGCGTGATAAAGCTCATAATTTTCCTAGTGTATGATATAGCTTTCATTCTTCAGGTCAATCATATATTCATGAAAAAAAAAATCAGTTTGAATAAGGAAAGCGATAACTTTGCCATAGTATCATTTGAAATGTAAAAGTTTCCACAGTCATTGCATTCTTTGCATGTGCTGCAGTAATCTATAGTTTGAGCCTGTCAAGGGCTAATGGCAATGGCAGATATGTTACTAGTTAGTTTCAAGGAAAATCATTTTCTTTTTTTGTTTGCCAAATAACCCTTTGTATGTGTCCCCGCAACCCCCAACCACCGGAAAAAAGTTCAGTCTCAGGATTGTTTTTTGCTTTAACCCCTGTATTTTGATATTTAAATTTTCCATGCCATTATATGAAAATAGAATGAAATAGGTCTGATGTGATGGCTGCTATTGTGTCTGTGTGGGTATATGATAAAAAGAGAGAAATCGAATCACAAATCAACTTATGAGCATCTCACTGTCTTGTCACCATATCCAAGTGCAGCATCCCGAGGTCTTCTCCCTTTCCCTCTCAGTTTGAGGTGTCATTTGTTGTGTTAAAAAGCTAAAGAGTGCAGCTTCCACTGACCGAATCGATATGCTTTAGCTACTGGAACGAAGAGGGCAGCAGGAGCTCTCGTTATGGGGTCGAAGAGGATGACCACATGCCGACAGGGAAGTAGAATTGCACAGGAACAGTAGTCTCACCCAGGCCTGCAATGTGTTTTCCTCCCACACAAACACACACTCATACACCAGAGATGTTTTGTTCAAGGGAGACATTGCCTCCGCAACGAAAACCAGATAAGAAAATGATTTATAACGCAGTAACTAAACAAAAATATTATGAAATAGATGAGCAGATTGTGTGAAAGTGAGGGGGTATCTATGAAATACTTTTTTGTCGACTGCCCTGACCTTTTTTTTTTTAAAGAGATGGTTCACACAAAAACCATTTACTCACACTAATGTCATCGCAAAACCTGATTTTCTTCTGTGGTAAGATATTTTGAATGTCAGTAGGGTCTAAAACAACATAGTACCCCACTGACTTTAATTTTATGGACCGAAAAGCACAGACGTCTTTTGAAATATCATTTTAAAAGCGAGTCGTACAGGTTTGGAATGACACGAGGGTGAGTTTGATTACAATGATGACAGAATTTTCATTTCTGGGTGAACTGTTCCTTTAATAATTTCTATTTTATAGGATTAACAAAGAAAGTTCACCATACACTCTTTAAAATAAAGGTTCCTTATTGGCATCTATGGTTCCATGAAGAACCTTTAACCATCCATGGAAAAGCACAAAAGGTTATTTAGATTCTAAGAAATATTGTTCTTTTGGAACTGTTTGTTGAAAGGCATCACTGTTCTTCTATGGCATCACTGCAAAAACCATCTTTTAGAAACACTATTTTAAAGTGTGTAGAAATTGCCCTTACTTCTAAGAAGTTGCATGTACCCCTGAGGTACGTGAATCACTGACATAAAACACCAGGAAAACAGAAAAAGACTTTAATGTTCAGGAAAAAGGTGGATAAAGCTGATGTGATTGAAACACTGAAGGATTTAGGGCAGTATATACTTGCTGAACTCTAGCGCCCTGCCCTTTGTGATGTGAGAGGAAATATATCACTGGCAACAGGAAAAAACAAAGATTTGATATCCTCATGCGGATAGGAAGGAGGAATGTGGTCAAGCGTTTTCCATATAAACACAATGAACGTCAGTTGGGACGGGAACAGCTCGGCACGCTCTGTCAGAGGCTACTGTATTTAGACGTTATGGAATCCACTGTAAATTTTAGAGGGATTTCATTTGTCTTCTCTTAAAGGCTTAATAGAGTAGCTTGATTATTGATTTTGTAAAATGTTATGGGTTTTTGTCTTCATCATCATTAAACTATGGCAAAGTAGCAGAGGATTAACCAAACCAGACTCCACATGTCACGATGGCAGTAAGAAGACATTATGGACACAAACACCTCTTAAATCCACAGTAGTCACATAGTCTTTTCTCTCAATGAGAAGGATTCATGAAGAGCTTGTTGAGAAACTCTTGAAAACCTGTTGTTCAATGAAGTCCGGCCGCAATCACAGGGTTCGAGAGGAGAGAATGATACGCTTGAGCAGCCTTCCTCTCCGAAGGCATTCCTGGATATGGTGAGAATGTCCTTTAGCATGTAATGTGTGTTTGTGTTTTTGGTTGGGCAGCGTCCACAACACAACAATGCGTCAAAGAAGATCTAGCACTTTTTACGTGCTCATTGTTTTGGTTGTGTTGTACTATATGTGACTGAGAGCACATGTGTGTTTGAGTGTGTATGCGTGTCAGTTGTGTGAATTGATGCTCAGTCACAGGTTGCTGGGCTCTCATCTGCCAGCTTGCCATTCAGGGTAAATTTACTGTTTAATGGTGGACTCATTTCCTGCGGCCTCATCCAGCATTAAATGCCTGAGCAGGTTCACAGATGAGGGTATATATCAAAAGCAGATTAGCAAGGGAGGCTGTTATAATATCATCAGAGCGGTATGTGTTTGTAAGCCTATCAGAGCAGAACTACTATAAAAGCACTGTAAAATAAAAGTAAGATTTTACTTAGTTCATTTCTAGTTCATAGTCTTAAGGATGAGATGCATTGTTTATATTTGAATAATCCAAGTTTCATGTACAATTATTGTATTTGTTATTATATTTGTATATAATATAATTCATATAAT